CTGCTGATTATTAAAAAATGTATAGTAGTTGAGTCACAAATGTATGCTAAATTTGAATCGAACTATCGCCACAGTCGAATACATTCTTTTATGTTGACATTGAGAGTTCAATGGCATATTCAAACACATTATACAAATAGAAGGACTGATTGTTGAAGAGACTAATCGATGTGAAGGACTCTATTCAAATACTCTGCAGTTGTTACATAAGAGCCAAATCAAGCTGTTGATCTGGAAAAAATCTGTCAAACTTATGAACAAGCATGCGAAACCATTTTGTTATTCACTTTTGATGTGACAGCTAATGATGTCACCGACAGATAAACTTTACTTGGAAGTGAGCACCATAGTTGAATGATGTAGTGTTCGTGAAAATGATTCATTTGTGATGTGATGGTCGATGATATCACCAACAGGCGATCTTGTCTTCAAAATGGGAACCATAATTGAAGAGAGTGTTTATGAGAATCATTGATTTGTGATGTGATGATCGATGATGTCACCTACAGACAAGCTTGAGTTCGCGATGAAAAAGGCTTCTAATTGAGATAATAATTGCCGTAAATGTGGCCATGCGAAATATTCTTTAACTCACCCATTATTAAATCAGGATTTTTATGGGAAAAACTTCTGGAAGCAACCGAATTATCGAACTGAAAAGTTATCTATTGTTATCAATGTTGTTTTGCTTACTGTTCTGTTTCGACTTTATTATGGAGGCAAGTGTAGATGCGGCCTTAGTAACTGATTGCTGCAATAATACTGTAACAGACAGCTCAATGACAATTATTTCTAGGAGATTAAATTAAATCAAATTATTGGATTTTTAAGAACTTTGTAAACTCAGTTGATATTGGATGACTCACTCCGTGAATAGCAATGTTCAAGTAGTCAAGCTTCGCTTTATTCTATGTGCATAAAATAAAAACGTGGTACTCTTGCTTTCTAGTATTAATGTAACTTTTTTTTCACACAACCAAATAATTCCGAAAGATCGCTTTTAGTATGACGACTCCTTTCGCATATAAGCTGAACAGATCCTGTAGTGGTTCTTCCTTCTCTGTTTTGCTAATTTTTTTGAAGTGCCCTTTTTTCCCGTTTTTCGTTTTTTTTTCAATTCTCGATGGATGTGAAGTTTCAGAAGATAAAGAAATAACGACGGAGTTACCTAGATGGTTTCTATCAACAAAGTAGTATCGATTGAACTGCAGACATTCTGTGTTTTATGTAAGTTCAAGATAATTCCATCCCGCATAAGATAAAGTATCATTGTAGAACCCAATACATTTAGCATTTGTATTCAGATTTTGAGTCATGTTAAACAATGGTTTCATCATTTTTCATATTTGAAGAAGCCGTATCCGGATTTTACGCTTCTACGTGGATGTGCCATTAAAACCAATGGGCACATCATTTTTTTAGTCCTCATTCCTCCTTCAATTCTCCGATTCCTAGTCCGCACCGGCGGTCCCTAAAATAAAGCCTACAATGGTTTTTCTTTGAAATCCAAAAATTTTTGAAAATTCAGAAATACTAAACGTATGGTTTCAAGCGTTTTTGAAAATTTCGCAGTGATCTTCAAGCGCTATCCGCTAATAGAAAAAAAGATATTTTAATTGAATGAAGAATAGAGAAGACCTATCGAAAATATAAACAAAGCAATTTACTCAGTATCACACGTTATATACATAGCTCAAAAATTGATGATTGATCTATGCTTACAGATGTTACATTCGTAGTTTAATACAATGTATGACGTATGACAGAACTGGGCACGTGTTGATTTTCTTGAGTGCAAGTATAAGTCCAAGTGCAGGTACTACCAAATTGGTGCTCGGTTGTTGAATAAAACCATTGTCACTCCAATGTAAAAATAAATTGGATTAAGAATCAGATTAAAAATCGATTATAATGGCACTATTATAATCTGATTTTAATCAGATTTTTCAGCTTTAAAAGACAGATTTTATTTGATTTTTTTTAATCTATTTTAACCAATTACCTACAATGACTGTAATAATCGATTAAAATAGATTAAACCCCCCTCAGAATAAAAAGGCATAGCCTTCTATTATGTTCCAGTGAATCGGTCTTTTTTGGGTGGCGTTATATTATGTCCAGAGAATCAAACGGTCCGGGGTGGCCTTCTATTCCGGGTGCCTTTCTACTACAGGGTGGCGTTCAATTTTGTGGGGGTTTTAAAAAATCAAAATAAAATAAAATCTGTCTTTTAAAGCTGAAAAATCTGCTTAAAATCAGATTATAATAGTGCCATGATAATCGATTTTTAATCTGATTCTTAATCCAAATTTTTTACATAGGACTATTGTTCAAAAACTTAGTTAGATTTTGTTAATAAACTTTCTAAGATCAAACTCAGTTTTAGTAGCAAAAAATGCTGGCAGATGCTGAAAGAATACTAAAGCACTGAAAACTAAGAAGGGTGTTACTCATGTGATTTTCCTCTTGGGGTATGCAAGATCAAATTCTTCATCTGCATAGTACAATTTAAATTAATTTCCGCACTGCTACACTTGGATAAATTTATACATAACGTTATCCAGTGTAAGTGCGTGGATGAAGACGAGAACATCAACTACACACCGCACCCATATTCTCAGTTTCTGCAAATAGTTAGCTTTATCAAAACTATTTCCATATGTGCTTATAACAATAAAAAAAATATATATTTCTTATATTTGGTCAAATTATTAAGACTTCTAAATAACCGATTATTTCACAATCAAATAATTATAGTCTCTATATGAATAGTATTTGTTAAAATATGAAATAGATCTCCCATCACAGTATTTCAGAAATGGAGAAATTATAAAACCTGAGTGAAATAAAAAAAATATAAAAATAGCGGCTAAAAGAATATATACGAAATAAAAATAAATTAAAATTTTCGTCATATGTGTGAATATAGGGCAAGAGAATTTAAGAGTGAATTATGACTTTAATAATTTCTCGGAAAGGAGCATCTTTTTATACAGTTCATGATGATAAGAAACGAATGATTGTTTGCATTTCGATGAGTAGCTCATAAAACTGTAGTTCATTTACAAATAAATGTAACTATGTGTACTCGTGCAATGATTTTTCATTTTTCTTTTAAAGTTGAGATTTATGTTCATGTTCTCCTGTAGAAATAAAACTACATAAATATAAGTTCGAATAGCCAGAGTTTTAGTCTTTTTTTCAGCACTTTAAACAGCTAGCCATTGTTGATAGATTAAGACAGAGAACATGCAGAATGATTCCACCTGCGAAGTAATGAATGGCATTTGACGTCATCGAAGACCTAATTTTGCGAATGGTTGTAATTTTATTCTTCTCGCATTATTTATTAATTAATTCAGATAATATCACTGTCATGTGACGCCGATTTGGGTCAAGTACTACGGCTTAATGCTGAAAGAAATAAAACCTATGGTATACTGTTAGGTCATCATACCCGTTCACTTTTCAGCTTATATGTAACTTGGAAGAAATTCTATAGTGAGAGTGCAACGCATGAATACGTGATTAGTGTGCATGAGAACAGAGTGAACTAGATTTTGATCTTTGTGGAAGATAAAAATAACAAAAGGAAGATAAGTGGGCGGATATTGTAATCTTCCTATTTGAATATAGCCGCTTAATTTTTCAATAGAATCACCGAGAATAATGTCAGTAGAGATTGTGCAAATAACCATTCAATTGAATTTAGTGAGAGGAAGATAATAATAAAATGAATTACTTAACAACAAATAAGTGAAATTCAGAAGAGCGTCTCTTTCTTTCTTATAGTCGTGCCGGCAGGAACCTTCTTTAGTGTCTAGATTCTTTCTCATGAAAGAAGCACTTAATTATTTTGTAAAAAGAAAGTTGATAAGGAGAGATGAAAGAAAGAAAAAAAATACAAAAAAAAAAATCAAAAGAAAATATAAGTTTTTATGTTCACTGATGAAGAAATTCGCAACAGAGTTGTTTTTTAGAGTATGATATAAAATGACATGAATTACTTAGAATGAGGTATGCATTTCAAGTTTTTGAAGCGCTTGTGAGTAGATATTAGAGAAGAACTTCATCTTATTCTGAATCTAATAACAAATTATATATGAAACTCAAAGCTATCAATTTTTTTCAAAAAACATACTTATGAAAGTGAAAATTTAGATCCACGGATTCTTTGAATTTGTGGAGATTGTGTAAAAAACTGCTCAAAAAATGTGTTCCAAAATACATCGAAGAAAATAATCTTCCTGTAATTAGCAACAGAAGCTAGATCGTGTTTCAAATTTTAATCCTCCAGGAATTACGTTAATAACTTTCGTGATTGATATTACTATTGAATAAGTCATTAGATTAGTAAAATCTATATATTTTATATTAGATCGTAATAGTATTGAGACAAGAATTGTGTTATGGAATCATTTCCTCGATATCATCGATTGTTATTGATAAAGATATTGATTTAAATCTATTATCATTTCTTTGCTTCATATAACAAAGTATTGTTTTATATATATTTTATTATGTTTTCCACTAAAATGATTTTATTCATGCTATTTTCTTCCACTATCGGTGCTTACATATCGAACGGATTAATGTTAATTATTTATAAAACTTTTTTTTTTTATACACGAAACAAAGTTATTTAGTTCGTGTATTTCTATTTCTTATAATTGCTCTTTGTAATGTATTTTTCTTCCGTTGTGGCTTATAACCGTGTTCTTTTAAACTGAGAAAGGTCATTATTTTTTATTTTGAATGGCTCATTTACTGAATACAATTAATCTTGAAAAATGAATTAAACATGACTAGTTTCTTTTTTTGTTGAATAACTATGATGATGACAAAAAAAAAATCTCTTATGGTTAATGAAAACTTTCATACAAAAACCAATTCAAATTTCTTTTTATTTTCGAAATAAAAATTTATTTAATTGATAAACATATTTATCATGTACGCCAACAATTGATGAAATGTTCATTTTGTTTTTCATCTGTTAATGATCATCGACCAGCCTTTTTACAACCAATAAAACCATTGCAAAAGAAACGTTTTTGTATATCATGATTTTCGTTGTTTGCATGATCATCAATAAATGTAATATCATCTTCTTCATTTCTATCAAGTTGATAAATAATATCAGCTATATGTTGGCATGAATGAGCACGTGATGATCCAAAAGAACCAAAAACACACATACGATTGAGATATTCACGTAATTTATTCAATAAAATTGTTTGTTTGTATGGATTTGTCTCATCAAGAGTATTTTTAAGTAGATGAAGTAAAGTATTTTTTATATTTTGATTATCATAATTTTCATCATCAATATGACTATTTATGTCAGAATTTATTGGAATAGAATGAAGATATGATATTTGTAATAATAAAATTGTTAGACATATCGATAACAAAAACCAATGATGAGACATTATTTTTGCAAAATTTATATTACAATATAAAGAGAGAAAGTGTTTGTCTGTACGCGTTCGATCGTAAATATGAGGAGAGAAGCGAGAAAATAAGAAGATTTTTATACTTTGCTTTTGTCCTTATTTTTTTTTTCTTCTTTCTTTTTCTTTTAAGACTCGCATCATTCTTATCGTTAATGATCTTGTTACCGCAGGCAGTCTTCTAGAATCGATTGTTCGTTCTACTCGTCAGACCTTCAATATCAATCAACTCTATAAACGAGATACAGAGAAAGATTATAGAGAAGACAGTCACTTTCCTTCTACAATGGATAATCTGACTTAGAACAATGCCTTCATTCAATGGAAATAAATCGAAAGTCTATATATGCTCACTAATAGTAGTTGAAAGTGATTGACAAAGACTATACTGTCTATAGAATAGCAAAAAAAATAACATCAAAATGTCATTTGGGAAAAACATATTTCCGTCATTCTGTTTTTAATATCATTCTCATCATGTCAAAATCCATAATAAGCTATGAAAATATGTCCGACAAAATTCTTGTAAAGAATATAAAATAAGTTATGACTCCCTGAAGGAATATAAAGCTTCAAAATAGTTCATATCACATGACTTTCTTACTCAAGAACTTCATAAGCATAATAAAAATTAGACCGCTTTTAGTACATGATAAATCTCGATCAAGAATATATTATGTAAAAATATGAATAAACAATTTTTATTTTCCTTTTTTTTTTCAGAAATTTTATTTGTAAAACTTCCTGTAAACAATACATGTTATACAATATTATTAACCAAGCATTAATATAATACTAACTGAAATTCTTGCATAGAATCAATTTAGACATATAGTGAATATCAGCCTTCCCTATTATAGATTGATTCAGATGAAAGGCAAACTTTTTCTTCGAAGAGATGTCGATCCTTCAATTTTCGTGTTGTATAAAACTCTGATTTACAAACATTTTCAAATCTTACATCATGTCGATTATTAATTTATGTGTTTTCGTTATTGACTTACATTTTTAATTCAAGAAGATCCTTCATAAATATCTTATAATTATTCTTCTATCTTCTATGTATTGATAAATATGTCTAAATCAAAAGTACCTTTATTTAGAAAAAAAAAAACAGATTCTGTTTTTTATATAGTCGTCGTATTAGAATAAGCATTAATATTAATTAATACTAATTCTAATACTGAATTGTGTGTGAATGGTAAAGATATTAGCATTATATTTAATTCTAATATACCTATTGTCGGCAATTATAATCTCTTAGAATTCAATCTAAAATGTTCCCAATAATGGAACACTTTTTAAAAGGTCTAGTCACAGGTACTAAATGTATTAACATTGATATTCATAAATTCTAATGCCAAAAATTTCCCAAACATCAAGACTAATTTTAATACTATTCGTAATATCACATTCTTATTGACAAATAAATGAAGAACGAATAGTAGCATTTGATTTAAATAAATTTTTCTGTTCATTGAAATACAAAATAGATTTAATTAAAGCTTATGAAAATTTATACCACTCTCAGTTAATATAGCTAATTTCTTGTCTGCAAATAAAGTAGCGTTGTATGCTTTTGAACTATAATCATATTTTTCTTTTATTTTTCCATCTGTTGTTATATTTAAAATACATGATGAATTCTTATTAATAAATAACCAATAATAATCATAAAATAAACAATATCCACATTGAAAAGGTTTTGAATCTATGTCAACTTGAACTGACCATAATCGATCAAGTGTTTTAGCAGATCTTAATTCAAATTTTAATAATTTTTCAGAAAATTTTTGAATAACTAAAGCAAGTGTTTCATTATTATAACGTATACAATCAATATATTCATCTTGTATACATGTATCAGGAGATTTCCATTGTTTAATAATTTCTATTGATGGTAATAAACGATATTCTATTATAGTTGACATATAATCATCAACACTTAAAAATAAAGATGTATTAGAACATGTACAAGAATGAAATTTTCCTTTTTTAAGACAATTTGAATTGTCTAATGAAATTGTATTTTCATGAACAAAACAAATACCACAACTTTCAACAATTAAAATAAATCGATCTAATGTTGATGACCAACATATATCTTGTATTCGTTCTAAATACCAAGGAAGTTTTTTAATTATTTTATAATCATAATCAATCAAACATAAATATAAATTTTGATGAAATAATAAATATCGATCATTAGAAGCGATAATTGGAGATTTTATTCCAGGAAAATCGATTGTTTTGAATGGTAGAGAAAGAACTGAGTGTAGATCTGCTTTTTCTTGAATTTGAATTATATGATCATCAATTACTAATGGTTGAATATTGATTTGAAAAGATATATGTTCAATTTTATTTAAATTTTCATTAAGTTGATGAATTTCTGTTTTTAGTAAATCAACATCTTGTTGAGATGCTTCTTCTTCTTGAATAAGTTTAGTTAAAGTTCTTCGTGTTAAATTAATTTCATCTTTTTGTTTATCGATTTTATTAATTACAATCTGTTCAATTTCTTTATATTTTTGTTCGAATAAATTATCAATAGTTTTATAATATTTATTACGCCATTCTTCAAGTTTTTTACGACATTCTCCAATTGATTCTTTAATATCGATTGTCATCAGTTGATTATCAATTGTATTTATTTCATCTGTTAATGGATTTAATTGTGCAATAACCATATCATTATGTTCTTTCAAATGTAATAAACAAAGATCTTGATTACAACAATGACAAAGAGCACGTGATATTCGTTTACATTTATTTATGGTACAAAGTGTTTGAGACATGAACAAATCAAAATCGATTAGTGCAAGACGTATAGAACTAAAATGAAATACGAAATTTTCTATGCATAGTGTGGCCTTTTAATTATGAATATTATTTTGTGTAAAGAAATGATTTTGACTGAAAGAAAACTTGTTCAAATAACCGCACATCAGTCAGTTATGAAACTTTTAAAACTAATAAAGCTTGGTACATAGAGCAAAAGCTATCATTGAGTTAAAATTCTCATGTGCTTGTCTGTAGGCAATATCAGAGTCATAAGCACTGAAAATTTTTACTTGACGCTTTTCTTCAAGTTACACTAGAAAGTGTTTATGATGCTTATTTTACTTTTCTTTAAAAATAAGATGTACCGCTAGTTTTTTTGCTTGGTATACAAGAAAACAAACCGAGCTATCGGGATTTGAAGGCATTTACAATGAATGTCAAGTGTTCATACTTCAAAAATTCAACAGCATTTTTTTTTGTTATGATTGGATAGAGCTCTGCGAGATACATTCAAAAGAACAAGCTCAAGATACCTTTATTCCTGGATGTAAGAGTAATAGATACAAAATTCTGACTTTTGTACAATCGTTGCTTGTTGAATATGTCTAATATTGTCTTTTCTTGTGTAATTTATCGAGCTCTATCCAACCATGACGAAAAAAAACTTAAAAAAAATAAATACTGTTTAAATTTTGAAGTGTAACTATATGACAGCAACTGTAAATACCTTGAAATTGGAATTTATCGGTTTCATGCATGCTATGGATGGCTCATATTTTAAATTAGTTAGTTTGATAATGAAAGCATTCATTGGATGAGAATATGATCAATCTTCTGTATTTACAATACACTACATTCCTCTGTCAGTTAGAAAAAACATAGGTGACTTGAAAACTTTTCTCAAGATAATTAGTATCTCTACTTACAATAGATTTGTCAAAATTCAAAGTCAATATTTTCAATAATATAACGAATTAAAAGTTCTCAAGTGCGTTGTTTTCCTAATTATTTTGGTTCGATATTTATACAAATTTGAAGATGGCTATGATAAATATTTACATTTATAAACTTTTACATTCAAAAAACTTGGTTTTTGCCATCAATATTTAAAACATTCATAAAAGTCATGCTTGATTGCTTCTCACACTTTTATTCTCTATTTATAGTTCTAATTTTTTTGTGACTCATGAAATTTCTTCTTCTTTATATGATACATATATATAAATTAATTAATAATTTGTTATCACAAAAAAATATAATGAGCTATCAAAATGAATTATAAAGTAAAGTTTTTTTTTACTGAGATATTTAAATGAGGGTATTTATTCAAAAATGGTTTATATATAGTTTGACTTTAGTTGAAAATCATGAAAATTTGTTAATGTAAATCGATCTCATTTGGTTGTTTCATTTATAGAATAACTCGTTGTGTTTTTTTACTTTTTGAACTAATGTTTGCTAAAGAAAAGCAACGGTTATTGAATTCTATCAAGAATACTCATAGAGAGCTATTCATTTGAGAGATTTATAATAAAATATCAATGATAAACTCAAAAAACAAATATAAATACAAAGAAAAACGTATAATTTATTCCTAACATGTCACGATAACAAAACAATAAACAATTAAAAAAAGAATTCTTTTCTTTATCATTAAACATAGTTCATATATCAATAACATGATTCATTTTCTATCCATAAAAAAATACGTATTAAAAATTGATATTAAAATAATAAAAAAAATCATGTTTCTAGTTATGATATAATCCTCAATATGCAAACAACTGGTGTATTCTGTTCTGTGTTTTATCTATGCAAAAAAAAAACAAACTGTTTGCCTCTCATTTTCGTATGTTAATGCATATTGTATGTCCTCTGAATACGAACACAAGCAAAGAGTGTATAAAGCATAAACATATGCATATATTTTGGTTATGGTTGAATACACTTGCATACATACACTAACGTTATCATCCTTTCATTTGCAATCACCATATAACACAAGAGCGAAATATTTTCTTGTGAAAGTGAATTTGGTTTGTTTTTTTTTTTTCTTTACTGTAATATATAAAAATGTTGTGTTTGTTTATTGCTATTTGATTGAAATAGATAAAATGAATGGAAATAATACTGGACAAGGAAAAAATCAAGATGATATTCGTGTACTTCCACCAAGTCCATATACAGAAGTTTCAAAAGCTGGTTTTCTAAAAGAAAAAACAACTCCTTTAAATGAAGAAATAATTCAAACAAATAAAAAATTAGATAAATCAAGAAAAAGTTTTTTATATGATCCACGTAGAAAAACAATACTTGGTCGTAGTTCTCTTAATTGGCGTAAGTTGAAAGTAAAATGAATCTAAAATATTACTTATTTATATATATATATTTTAGTTAGATTAGCTGCATTTTATACAGTATTTTATTTTTGTTTGGGAATGTTTTTTGTTCTTTTACTGTACGTATTTGCTTTAATGCTTGATCGTGAAATACCAACATATTATAACAAGGATAGTACAATGGCTGTACGAACAACAGCTACTGTTGGTTTGTATAAAAAAAAACAAATAAATGAAATAAATATTTTAAAATCATTTTTCCTATCTTTGTTAATGTAGTTGGAATGGGTTTTCGACCTCAACCAGAAGTTGATGATAGTCTTATTCGAGTAACAAATAATGAACATGAACAAAGACGTATTGCTTCATCACTTCGATTATTTCGTGATAGTTAGTTATATTGTTGTATTTTTCTTTTGAGAAAAAAAAAAAAAGTATTTTCTTTTTATTTTATTTGTAGTTTATCTTATTCAAAAAGCTGATGCTAGAACAGAAGAATGTTCAGAAAAAGAAACATCAGCAGACTTAGTACCCGGTACAGCATGTACATTTAATTGGTTTCATATTGTTAAAACACAAGATCATCCATGTTCGGATAATAATATGTATGGTTTTAAAAATGAAGAACCATGTGTTCTTGTTAAATTAAATAAAGTATTCAATAATTTGTTTTTGTTCAAAGAAAAAAAAAATGAATTCTTTATAGGTCTATGGATGGACACCAATAAAGGGTCCTTTACCATTACGTATACAACACCTTCAAAATATCAACAGTAATAAAAGTATAGCAAAATCTCATGTTTACATTACATGTGAAGGATCGGTATGTTACAGATGAAAGACATTTGATCTTTCTTTTGAATAGATGCATAGTTATCAAAACATAGTAATTTAATGTATTCTCCATCAAAAATTTCTTTCGTTGTTAACCAATCTTCTTTTCTTTCAAAAACAAAAAATCATCATTAAAAACATGTCGTTTAAATTTTTTTTTTCTTATGAAAATAGAATCCAGCTGATAGAGATGCTTTAAGTGGTATAATATATTATTCATTGGGTGATCCATCTGGTTCTAAAGTATATGGTGTTATACCAAATTATTACTTTCCATATCGGTAAGCTTTTATAAATTTATAAGAAAAGGCTAATATTGTTCTATGTTTTTTTATATAATAGAAATGCTCCTGATCATGTTCAACCATTTGTATTAGTTCAATTTAAAAATTTACCATTAAATCGTCTTCTTAGTGTAACATGTCGAGCTTGGGCACCAGGTATTCAACATGATTCAAGAGGTATGCGTGGTATGGTTTCATTTCAATTATTTCGTTCACAAGGATCTGGAACAACAAATATTGATGCTAGTTAGGAAAAGCAAAATATCATTTTAAACTAAATTAATTTTTAATTTTTCTTTTGCGCTCTTTTTTTCTTTTTTTGTCTTTTTTGTTTACAGTAGAGGTTTAGTTTACTTTCTTGTTTAAATAAATGAAATATGGGTTCGAACAAAAAAAAAATAATAATAATTAGAATAAAATAAAGGTGTGAAATACAGATGTTGTTTATATTTCGTATTTAATTTAGTCTAAATATATAAATATATATGTATGAATTATTCACTTTTGAATAAATTAATAAATATTCTTTTTTGATATACGTAAAAACTAAGAGCACTATGCAAAATATATGTTGTATGCATGTTTTTTTTCTATATTATACAAAATCAAGTAATCATGGTCATGTTCTCTTACTTTTTCAACAAACATGTAATTTAATCGTTTCTTTTTTTTTCTTCTTATTGAAGTCGATCTTTCGCCTTTCTAAAGTCCTTGATTATTTAAAGAATGGTTGTTATTCATATTTTTATACGACTTTTTTCATTCAGATAAATCAACGACACCTGTGTGTAAAAATCATGCTCTATTATTTTGCTTGTCAATACTTACAAATTACAGCCATAAAAAAAATAAAGCTTCTTTACTTTCTTGCGATATATATTATGGTAATTATTTTTTGATTTTTCCTTTTTTTTTTTTTAAAGGCTCGTAATCTGACACGAACTTCAAATTAACATCAAATGATTGCACAATGTATTTTTACTTCAGTCGTTTTTTTTCCTTTTCACTAACTCAATATTAGTATACAACGAAAGAAAGAAAAGAGAAAAATAGAGTGATGTTATACAAGTAGAAGATTAGTATGTAATGAAGAACGACACATAATATATCAGGTAGGGTTGATAATATATATAGGAAGATTATGAAGGTAGTAATTTTCATGTCATTTCATAGAGAAATCCTTGACTAAAAAGCTTTTTCGTTTAATATAAATAATATTTGTATATGAATGTTATTTACAAGAAACAATCGATATTATATATTATTAAAAATACATTGTAGTTATTAAAATATTGTTTTTTTTTACTCACATTATTCAATGCATAGAAAATCAAAAAAAATATTTGATCGAACCCGAATTCATAGATTACAGTAAGCGAATCATCTTATATATCATATCAATTAAATAAAACTCTTCAAGACTGAAGACTAAAATATGCATCGTTTATTGGCTCAGTAAATTATATGGCTTGAGTTATATTTCACGCTAAAATGTCATTCTCTTTTTGAGACTAGGATTGAATTAACTACTGTGACATTTTTACTTGACTTGAGTTCATAGAACTTGAAGTTTATTAGTTGAATTCTCAATATCTAATTGATAAATTTTTTTGATTCACTCTCAAGTCTAATTTTCAAAATATTGCAATTGATGAAATACGATTGTTTTTTTTTTCTAATTATCATTTTAGAGAAATAATGACGAAAATAATTATTGTTTTTGTATAATAAGCAATGAATGCCGCGTACATCATTCAATGGTTGGAAATATTTTTTATTAATAATATGTTTCTTTTTTCTTGGTTTTTTTCTTGGTTTACATTATTGGGAATTTATTCTTCGAAATGATTGTTCATCATCATATTTATCATTTTTTCCAAAACCAATAATTATTAAATCAATACCATTTTATAATCATTTTCAATATCGAACAATTCATACATGTCAAAATCAAACATCAAATATATTTTTAACTATTGCTGTTTTATCATCACATGAACGTTTATTAGAATATTTACCAGCTATATTTGAAACATGGTTATTAACAACAACAATTGAAATTGAAATAATTATATTTCTTGAAGAAAAATCTTTAAATATAGAAAATTTTATAGAAAAAATTTTTTTAAAATCAAATCAAAATATTCAATCGTGTTGTTTTATTGTTAAATTAAAACATGTAGAAAATGAATATCCACCACAGAAAAAAAGTTTCTATGCTATGAAATTTCTTTATACATATTATCGACATAGAACATCATGGATATTACGTTTAGATGATAATGCTTATGTTAATATTCCTGATTTAATTAAATGGCTTAAATCAATTGATCATCAACGAGCTTTATATATAGGACAAGGTGGTACAGGAAGAAAAAGTGAATCGACTATTTATTTTCCACCGGGAAAGGTAATAAAATAAATAAACAAAGTTTCTATTTTCTTTTTATGTTTTTTTTTTTTAGTATTTTTGTATGGGTGGAAGTGGAGTAATACTTTCACAAAAAACTCTTATACAATTAGGACCATGGCTTGATCAATGTTTTAAATCAGAACTTCGTACAAATCATGAAGATGTTGAATTAGGTCGATGTATTTTAATGCATGTTCATATTGATTGTACTAATGCATATAATTCAAAATTGTTATTTTATCATCATTATGGTCCTAGTTATTTATTTGGTTTTGGTTTTACACCATCGATTGTTTCTCGAGCATTGATCCTTCATCCAATTAAAAATCGTACAATATTTCAACAATTATATAAATTTTATTATCGAGAACAACAAAAAAAACTTCAATTATCTACATGGAAATCATCAAATAAACAAAATTATGTTACATTTTTAAATAATATGGAATTTGATCTTGTACGAGATATACATTATCAATTAATTGATGCACGTTGGAAATCATATATTAATACAAGTGTTCAATCTTATATAGAACATTTACAGAAACTTTGGCATCAACGTTCTAGTAATTGGACAGTGACTAATGGTAAATTTTTGTTAGGTTATCATCGTGTAATACCACGATATGGTTTAGAATTAATAGTTGAAGTATTGTTGAATGTTCGTACAGTTTCTATTTTATCACCTCGATCAACTGTTATTCGAAAACGTTTTCATCTTCGTCAATCATTCGTTGATAAACATAAAATTGATTCTCGAGAAATAACTAATCTTAATTTAAATCAACAAGAATATCAATTAAATCTAATTGTTGTTTCAAATAATAGAGATAAAGCACTATTAAGATTTATTCATAATTTTCAACATGAAATACTTGATTATCCTGATCAACAACAACATTTTACTTTAACAATACTTTATTTTCAACAAAAAAATTCAATAATTGATCAAATATATAAATTAATAGTCAGATATTCAACATCTATTCGTTTAACAATTATTAATGAAACTCAACATGCATATAATCGTGGTCTTGGTCGTCAATTAGCATCAAAATATTTTTCTAATAATCAATTATTATTTTTTCTTGATGTAGATATTATATTTACAAGACAGTCATTAATTAATACTCGTCGTTTAATGATTCATCAATTATCAATATCATTTTGTACAGTATATTTTCCAATAGTTTATTCATTTTTTTCAAATATATCTATTGTTAATAATCATTCAATAAATGATGTACGAACTAATTTTGGTTTATTTTCTATTTATGGTTTTGGAAATGTAGCTGTACGTAAACAAGATTTAGATCGAATTGGTGGATGGGAAATAAATAATCATGATTGGGGAGTTGAAGATGGTAATTTATTTCAACAATTTGTTAATATTTCATCTGAATGTTATGTATTTCGTGCTGTTGAACCTGGTTTAAAACATGCATATCATAAAAAAATGTGCAATGATATTAAAGATCAAGCACGATTTAACATGTGTTATTATGCAGAAGTTAATTTACTTAGATCACAAGCAGATATGGTTGATTATGTATTGAATAACAAGATTTTGAATGATTAAAATTGATTAAAGAATTTTATTTTATTTTATTTTTTTTGTTATTAGAATAAAATAATAGGACCTATTCATTTGTCAAAGCGAAATTGTTTTATGACATTGAGCAATACGAATATGACCATCTTGTAGGATAATATTGATAGCATACAAAAATGCAATTTTAATCTATGTCATTTCATAATTCGTATAGAAAAAAAAATGCTATTACAGATATATTACTCAGAATGAGTCAAAATCAATAGTAGTCATAGGTTGTTATTTTCGAATTTTTCATGTAAATAAATATGAGTTTTATTTAAGACGATCTCATGTTCTAAAACTTTTTGAAAGAGACTCTTGAAATATGACAGGAGATGTAACGAGAAAACATTTGCAAATGTCCATGTCCATTTGAACTGATGTTTTGCTCATGAGTAAGTAAGCCTTGTTGAGTTATAAAAAGCGTTCAAAGATTTTGTGTCCATGTACATGAAAGTACTAGTAAATGTCCTTTTTGCGATTACTCTTAAAAAGTAGGAGATTGTAAATCTTTTTGAAGTTGAACTTAATAATAAGTAGATCATACTAGACTTTCTAATGTTGTAATCTTCAGAAGTTCGCAAATGATAACGCAAACTGTTTGAAAACTTTGCATAATTTACTAAAACTTAATTATGAATAAAATATCAGCTCAAACGAAAGTGGACATTAGAAAATATTCTCTTGGAAATTTTGTCGCCTATCAAGAAAGTAATTTTATCATGAAAATACCTCAGAATATACTTTTAATCAAGACAAGATATGTTCAATTCTATAAATGAGTGCTCTAACGTTGCCTTTTCACACTATTCAAAGAATGAATCGACTTTTTTTTTTTTAATGAAAATTCCAAGTTAATCGACATTTTCACGCATATCACTATCGGATCGACAATTAGTTGAAACTTGGAATGTGAATGAAGAGAAGATTCACATCCATATCAAATGAGTACAACCATTGTAATTATCTTTCACACAATGCCAAACTAATCTATCCCAATGGTAACGAAAACCATCGAGAAGAAAGGAATCCTTGACTTTGACTGATTTAATGAGAAACATAATTTTATAGAATTAGTACTTATTGTTGTTCGATAAATGCATTTAATAATAACTATCGATTGACACATTTTATTTTTAATTTTGAAGCATTTATTTAATAACTATTAACATATTATCAATCGAAATAAGAAGAGACGTAATAATAAAATGTCAAAATTAGATCAAAGATCAAGCACATGGAAG